AGCAGTCCAGTCATCCTTGTTCCACATCTAGTATCCTCCTATGAGTGAGTACATACCATGTTTGTCTTTCTGAGTCTGGGTTACCTCACTCAGCATGATTTTTTCTAGATCCATCCATTTGTCTGCAAACCTCATGATGTCATTGTTTTTCTCTGCTGAGTAGTATTCCATTGTGTATATGTACATTTTATTTATCCATTCTTCAGTTGAAGGGCATCTAGGTTGTTTCCAGGTTCTGGCTATTGCAAACAATGCTAATATTAACATAGCTGAGCAAGTGCTCTTATGGTGTGGTTGAGCATTCCTTGGGTATATGCCCAAGAGTGGTATAGCTGGATCTTGGGGGAGATTGATTCCCAATTTTCTAAGAAAGTGTCATATTGATTTCCAAAGTGGTTGTACAAGCATGCATTCCCACCAGCAGTGGAGGAGAGTTCCCCTAGCTCCACATCCTCTCCAGCATAAGCTGTCTTCAGTGTTTTTGAACTTAGCCATTCTGACAGGTGTAAGGTGGTATCTAAGAGTTGTTTTGATTTGCATTTCCCTGATGATTAGGGATGTTGAGCAATTCCTTAAATGTCTTTCAGCCATTTGAGTTTCCTCTGTTGAGAATTCTCTGTTTAGTTCTATAGCCCATTTCTTAATTGGACTGTTGGTCATTTTGATGTCTAATTTCTTGAGTTCCTTATATATTCTGGATATCAGTCCTCTGTCAGATGTGGGGTTGGTGAAGACCTTTTCCCATTCTGTAGGCTGTCGCTTTGCCTTGTTGACTGTATCCTTTGCTCTACAAAAGCTTCTCAATTTCAAGAGGTCCCATTGATTGATTGTTTCTCTCAGTGTCTGTGCTACTGGTGTTATATTTAGGAAGTGATCTCCTATGCCAATGCGTTCAAGACTAGTTCCTACTTTCTCTTCTAGCAGGTTCAGAGTAGCTGGATTTATGTTGAGGTCCTTGATCCACTTGGACTTAAGTTTTGTGCACAGTGATAGATATGGATCTATTTGCAGCCTTCTACATGTTGATATCCAGTTATGCCAGCACCATTTGTTGAAGATGCTTTCTTTTTTCCATTGTACAGTTTAGGCTTCTTTGTCAAAAGTTATATGTTCATAGGTATGCGGATTAATGTCAGGGTCTTCAATTCGATTCCATTGGTCCACATGTCGGTTTTTATGCCAGTACCAAACTGTTTTTATTACTGTAGCTCTATAGTAGAGCTTGAAGTCAGGGATTGTAATGCCTCCAGAGGTTGTTTTATTGTACAGGATTCTTTTGGCTATCCTGGGTTTTTTGTTTTGCCATATGAAGTTGAGTATTATTCTTTCCAGGTCTGTGAAGAATTGTGTTGGTATTCTTTTCTGTTTTTTCTTTCTGTTCTTCTATTTCTCTATTTTCTATTGTCTATTCTTTAGCTATCTAATCCTGTCTTCTGTTTTATCTATCCATGAACTATGAATTTTAGTTGTACTTTTCTGTCAATATTTTCCAATTTATTTTTATTTATAGATTCTAAGTTTCTGTTCAAATTATCTTTTATCTGTTTAATTCATATTTGTCTCTTATGTCTTGAAGACAGTACCCACATGTGTTATATGTATGTGGCTGTGGTTTTTATGTGTACATGCACATGAGTGCATATGGAAGTCAGAGGTTAACATTCTGTGCCTCAGTCATGTGCCACATTATTACTAATTTTAATTAGGGTTTAATTAAATTTAATTAATTTTAATTCTGATTGAACTTGCAGTTCATCAACTGGCCAACATTGGCTGACTAGAGAGCTCTAGAGATCCACTTGTCTCCCACACAATCCCTCTGTGCTGTGTGTGCCACCACATATTGCCATGAAAATTTTAAATTCCTTGTCCATAAACTCTGATATTAGGATTAGGTTCACCTATATGTCTCTGTGTACATTGTGATTTTGCTTTTAGATATTGTTTTTAGAACATAACTCAATACCCATCAATATCTAATAATTTAGTTTTATTTAATTCCAAACAGGGTTCATAAAACCTTAGAGTTTCCTGATGGAAGCCACATTTCTAACATAGAGAGTTCATTTTTTCCTGCCTGTGCAGACAGTGTGAAAGACTTACCACCTTATTTCCATAAACAATTAAGATGGATTACAGCATTGGTTGAATTTAATGTGTTTTTGCTCTTCCCTTATAGTTAGTACATAGTCCTTTAAGTTTTAAAGCTGATGGCTTGATGAGTTCTCTCCTCATCTTCTTCCATCTCTTCTCCCACCTTTCCTCCTCCTCCCCCTTCTACTCCTCTTTTTAGCATAGAGGAACTATAGAAAAGGCAATGTTGTTTTTTTAAAGTTGTTCCTATTAGGTTTTGACTTCATCCTTTCTTCATGGGGATGATTGTAGACCAAGCTGTGAATCATAGTAAGAACTAGCAAACATTCCCAGGGATGGAGAAACCATAGAGACAAGTTAATCTATAGGAGGGTCTTTCCTTTCTTCAGAAATAACTCTCCATTAGATCATGGGCCTGTCTCTTTAAGATGCTTAGCACCTTAAGAGATTAGATACTCAGCCTGGAGCAATCTAGCCATCCATCTCCTGCTCTGTTTTCTGGTCCTACAGAGGTAAAAGACAAATAGGTGTTCTTTCTTATCTCTGCTGCTCTTGTCTTAGGAAACAACTTTGACACTTTCTCAACACTGGCTTTGAATTATGGTGAGGCTGCCTAACTACCTCCTGGCTATTCTGTTTCTCCCTGCTTTTTTCCTCGTGGGCCCCTTACACCCATGCCACTCTATCCATGGTGCCTATCTCTCTTACTCTTTTACTTTAAGCTATCTCTTATACTCTTTTTATTTTAAGCTTAATGAAGTTCCTTTCCAGATTTTCAAAGGAAGTTTCTCTTCCCATTTGGGCCCTGTTGTGTTGCCTATTGTGTGTGTTCTATTTCTTCTAATTGCTCTTTCACCTCAAGTCTTGATCACATTAGTGAGTTGTTCTCTTCTAATAAGGATCATTTCTGAAGGGTAATTTCAAGTCAGCTCCCTTCTTAAACCTGCTGCTCTGATTTCTAACACTACTTGTCTCGTTTGACAGCAAATTCATTAGGATTACTGTCTCTTAGTTACCCTTGAGTTTTCCCTCTACTACACAACTAATTCTCATCAGGGGATCTTGCTGTAGGTCTTTTCACAGCATAGATACTTCTCATCACCTTTACTACTATCACAGGTAAGTTGAGCCATCATCACTGGAAAGATTTCAATAACCTCCATCACCATATCTCACCTTAAATATTGAAATATAAGCTTCACTGGACTCTCTAATTATATTTTCTTTATTAACAAGTTTTAAAACCCCTAATACATTCATCTTTCAAAATAAGTCAGACAATACCAACCTTTAATTCAAAATGTTCTACTCATTCCCTGTTTACCCACAGAATATAAGCCAAGGCCCTTCAATGTTCTAGAAGATTCTGGAGGCTCTAGCTGAATTTATAGCTTCATCTCTACCTAGTACTTTTCATTCTTATGCCCACTGGGCAGCCATATGGGTGCTCTGATGTTCATTGAACAAGCCAAAAACTTTTCTCACTTCAGATCTTTTTTCCTGAGATGTGTCTATGATACCTAGAACATTATTTCCTCAGATTTCTGTATCATTTGCCCCACTTCATCATAAAATGTCCAATCTTATGTAATGTTTTGAAATATTTTAATTTATACATAATAAGAATAAGGAGATTGAGTTGTGCTTCCCTGGATGATATATTTGGTTGTCAATGAAACTAAAAACAGACTTGTCAGGATTGCCTTATTAGAAAAAATGTACAGGAAGGTAAAATTAAAGGAATAGATATCTAACAGCTGTCATAATGCAGTTAGGAATACCATACTGTTCTATAGCCCAGCAGAGAGACTAGAGTTTGCAAGCGTTATGCCTGTACATTTCAAAGTAGCTAATGGAAGATGTTGAATGCTCTTAGCATTAAGAAGTGATAAATACTGGAAATGATGGAAATGTTAGTTACCCTAAATTAATCATTATATTATATTATATTATATCATATTATATTATATTATAATTGTGTCTGAAATATACTACATCATATACATGTGTATAGTTACTATGTATTCAAAGTTTTTCCATGGTTCTCCTTACTTTATGCTTACTTTCACCTTACTTATATTCAATGTTTACTTTATATGTCACTATCATATTCTTGTCAATAATACAAACTCCATAAGGCTAGGGATTTTGTTTTATTAATGAATTGCATTCCAAACTCATAGAATAGAGGCTGTTACACAAGAGATGGTCTATAAATATTTTACAAACTAATAATTGATAAAATATGTCACATATAATTGAGACTTTTCAAATGCAGTTTCTATTTCAATATCATTCAGATGTGATCAACACAGATCTTAATATATTACTCTGATAACTTACTCAGATATTCTTACGTTCAAAACTTCTCTGAAGTATATTCAATTTTGACATCTGTAGTTCATTTGAAAATGCACTCTATTGTATTCTCTGTAAGATTTACAGCAAATGGGAAAGGCAGTACTCTAAAACGTGAGCAAATTTCCATAGCTGTCCCTCCTATTTACCGTTTATTGTTGGGAACTGGATAGTAGTAAGTGGAGGTGCAGGGAGAATGGACATTAACAAAAATATTTCACATTCTCTTGTCCTTAGGAAGCTAACATTCTTTATCAGTCCTTGCTCTGTCTTCTGGAAAAGGACAAATGTTGATGTTTCCATCTAATGATAGCAATTACTCTGAAATAATGGAATAAGATTTGGTTTTTTTTTTAAGAAAAAAAAAAGCCTGTTAAAGGTTAAGTCTACTACTCTTGATCAGTTAGTACTACTTGACCCCACTCTCCTGACCCAGTCCATAACAGCAAGAATTAAAGTTAGTATTAGGAACTTCCCAGGAACAAAGTAAGATATATTATATTTCTTCTGGAAGCAGATCAGACAAGCAAAACTCAGAAAATACATACAGCTTCCAAACTTCAGTGGGCAAGCATGCACATCCATGGGGAAATCTTCCAAATGCATAGGACATTCAGCATGTATTGTTAACCTAAAAGAAGAGAGATAACAGAACATGAAATACAGCCAAGATTAATGTTATTAAACATAAAGTTCAGTTCCCACTCAACAGCATTGGAGTACTCCTAAGAATACCATGGGATTTTGCTTGCTTATTTTCACTGCAAGTGAGTATGCTAACAAACAGTGGATTAAGTGAGCTAGGGACTTTTTCAAAGCAGCAGCCAGTATTGCTTGTTTTTAGTTACAGCTGATGTGAATCCCACCTTACCAGCTTTAGAAAAAAAAATATGTATTTGGCGTAATGGTACTTCTTAGCTACCCTTTAAGAAGCATAGAAACAGCAAGTCCTGATTCATTCATTCCTGATCACAGCTTCATTATTTCAGAAGGAATTCTTCCCAGCAGGCTATTATATGAGGTAGTACACACACACACCACTCCAAAAAATACAAAGGTAATGGAGGGAATCAAAAACCTTACAGGTCAAATCTGAAGAACTTTCAACAGAAACATAAACAGGAAAGATCATGCTTAAATTCCTCAGTGGAAATATTTATGGGGTATGATTTGTCATATTTATATGTTCATTTCCTTGCATTAGTCTGTCAAAATAATCCATTTCAGTGTTTCCTTATGAATTCTTGCCAATCTTTTAAGGCTGAGCTGCGCTGCCATTGGCTCCAACAGTATTCTCATAGATAAGTAGATAGATACACACACACACACACACACACACACACACACACACACACACACACACACACACAGAGAGAGAGAGAGAGAGAGAGAGAGAGAGAGAGAGAGAGAGAGAGAGAGATACACACACACATACATATATAGATACATCGATACAGAAATAATGCCCACATAGTAAACATTTAGAGTTGCTTGGCACCTGGCATTAATAGGTTATTTTTTTTTTATCTAACAGTTTCTGTCATGCTCATGGTATTTTAATATGCTCAGAAGCTTGTCATCAATTAGAATTTTGTTCATCCTCCCAATGCCTTCCTTCTTTACAGAGGCATTTTTGCTCATGGCTTTATAGCACCGAGATTTTCCTTGGAACTATAATTCCTGCTTAATAGAATATCAATATATCACATAGAGGAATTTGTTTTGTTCCATGTCAAGGCAATAGAGAGAGAGGGGTGTGTAAGGAGTTCAATATGTAGAGTCTTCATTCATTACTCATCCTAACCACAGTGCTACTATAACAGTGTCAGGTAGGAAAATCTCAGTAGGTGCTTATTGGCAGAACACTGTTGCCCAATACTGCTCCAGTTTGGTTGGAATAAGTGAGATACCAGGAAACATTCATATTTAAAGTCAAATTATAGATATCCATGCATCTAGGAAGGCATAGGAGGTTCTATGTGTAATTATTATCATTATAAGGATCATTGCTAATAATTTGAGCTATTCACAGCATTTTACAAGTTCTGAAACACATTCACATTGAGTAATTCCATTCAAGTCTGCTTACATCATAGGGAACCTGGTTACCTGGAACAAAAGAGAATGTTCACTCTATTTGACCCCCATGGTGGCCTTGTAAGGAATATATTGGGAGCAACATTATCATTTCTGTTTCAGAGAGACAAATACAGAGACTTTGTGTGATTTGATCAGAAACATAACATGGAAGTATGGAACAAGTCCAAAGGTCTTGCTACATTAGCTACTTTCTATGCATTAGAGGGTAAATAGCTCTTCATCTCCTTTGGAATGTATTAGTCATGTGAGGGAATCTTTAATCACCCATGCTTACCTTTGTATAAACATTTCCTGTGTATAAAGTAGTTGTGGGAAAATATGAAAGATAAGACAGGCATAAGCCGTAATTATTGCCCTCACAGAGATCACTGTCATAGGAGGAGAAAAATAATACCTACCTATTTGGCCAATCCATTAATATAGAGCAGTAGTTGTGACCATTAGCCTGGATACAGTAATGGTCTTTTCTTTTGCAGAAAAAATGTTGAAGGGATTATAATACTATTAGTCTGAGAACTACACACACACACATACACAGACACACACACATACATACACACACACACACACACACACACACACACACACACACACAGCATAGCCTGGCTAATAACAAACTCTGCCCACATACACCCAGGCATTTTTTCTTCGGTTAGGTGGGATGGGTAAGAAATGGATAGAAAAGAAGATAAGAAAGTTATTATAGATCAGTTCTGTTCCTAATCAGAAATCACTACCTTTGCATCCTGCTTTTATAATTTATTTGCTGTGGTCTTATTCTCTACATCCCAAAGGCTGCCAAGTAGACATGAAATAATTTCCGCTTGACATTACTCATAAGAGGCAGTATCTTGGAAATAATAATGTAAGTGGAGAGAAGGAACACGGTTTTATTAAATCCTCATGGAAACTTTTCAGTATCCAACATGAGGAGTAGGTTTCTCTGTGAAATATATTTCTTTTATGTCTTCTAATGTGAATTTTGAAGTCCCACTTATGCCCTTTAAAAGTCAGATTGGTGGGATATTACAGGCTGGCTTAAAATTGAGGTTTTCTTCAAGACACATGAAAATTTTTTAAGTATCCAAGTGTAGCATTCTTTCACGGACCACCAGCCCCCAAATCATGACACAGAGACTTATTATTAATTATGGATCCTAAGCCTTAGCTTAGGCTTGTTTACAGCTAGCTTTTCTTTAACTTAAATTAACCCATTTCAATTAATCTATGTGTTGCCCTGAGACTCATTTATCACATCTATGTACTATCCATCCTGCTTCCCTGCTTCTTCTGTCTGTCTGTCTGTCCCTCGGCTGGCTGGCTGGCTGTGTCCTGGCTAGCTGGCTGGCTTCCCTTTTCTCTCTGCCTGCCAGCCCTGACTATCCCTATACTGCCAAATGTTGATGCTCAGCTTTTTATTAGACTAATCAGGTGCCTTAGGCAGGCAAAGTAAAACAGGAACACATCTTTACATAGTTAAACAAATGTAGCATAAACAAGTGAAACACATCTTTGCATAGTTAAAAAAATTATTCTGCAACAAAACAAATGCAACACATCTTTGCATATATATCTTTACATATTTAAATAAATATTTTATTCCACAACATCCAAGGGACTAGTTAGAACTGCAAGGGTCCTTTTGATCATTTGGTTTCAACCTTTTGTTGTTTAAATGGCACACTGAAAATAAGAGCCACGTAGGTATTTGCTAAAAGACACACACCTAGATGTGCTTACTGTTTAGGAGAAATTTGAAAAATGTATACATCCAGTTCCAGAACAACCCATAAAGTTCTCTGAGAGGTGCAGAGAAAATGAAAGAATTATTTTGTACAAGGCCACCATAGAAGACCTTATGAGAACAGGATCAACCAGGATGAAGCCACAATGGTAAGCAAGATGAAGTAAAGGATGGCATTGTGAAGAATATATACACATAAATTTATTTATTTAAACACAGTCCTCTCCAGGGATGAGTCCCCTAATCTATTGTCCAGTCCCAAGTGGTCAGCCCTAAACACACACACACACACACACACACACACACACACACACACACACACACACACACACATATATATGTATATATACATATATATACATATATATATATATGTATATGAGCAACACTGAATAACTCAGCAGGTTACATTACCTACAAGTTTTTAATGCGCTTTTCAAAAAGAAAGATCAGAGACTCTTCAAAGTACAATACCAATATCATAGAATTTCAGTCATGATCTGGGGTTCTGGCTGCTTTGATTTCTATGTAAACACCAAGCAGTAAAGAAGAGATAATCCTTTATCTCCTTTAGGGGAGGCAGATGCAGATAGGAATCCAAAGCCTTTTAAAGTCAAGTCATGATGCCCATACAACCCCCCCCATTATTAAAATGCCCTCATTTTACTTGTATTTTGGCACTCTGGTTCCTTTGTCACCCAATCCTTTGCTTTAAGCAGAATTTTTGCCACCATAGTAATAAGTCCATGTTGTATTACTGCTATGGCCTCCTAACTTGTTACTCTGTTAAAAGCAGTTTCTTTATACCCCCTGCTTTGTTCAGAATCAAAGTCTGTGTCTACTCAGAGTCTAGAATGATCCTACCCTATGTTCCCCTCTTGTTTACTTTCTTGGGTCACTGGGCTCTGGCTCTTTCCAGACTCTCTGATACCATGGCTGTTGAATAATTGTGCTGTCTTACCAGAATGTTCCTCTTTCCAATAGCTGGATGACTAATTTTATTTTATTTTTTTTCTTTTGCCATCTTGACTTTATTTAGTATAGGCTACATTTTGACCTAGATTTTAGCCATTCAACCAAGGAAACAGTCCAGCTAAACAGACTGGTAAATCAAACCTGATGGAGAGTTCATTTCTCAGTAGTCAGAAATCTTCCTTTGAACTTCCTTTAACCTTAGGCTAATTACTAGTTTCTAAAGGAGGTCTGCATGGAATGAACTCTCCTTCCTATCTTTCATTTCCATAGACATAAACTTTACCATACTCTTTCTTTTCTCATATTATCTAAGATATGCTGGGCCATAGACTTTATTTTTCCGTGTATTATCTGTTTGCTTTCTTTACTGTACGTTAGCAATTCTTATCTTTTTTTAATGCATGCCAAGAGCCTAGTTCACTGAATTACTATATTTTTTTTCATTCATCGAGGTATATATTTCTATTGAAACCTTGTATTGAGGGGTTATGAGTTAGACAAAAAGGATTTCAAATACTTCTGAAGTTCTAGAAAACTGAGCTTTGTTTGTAGCATTTTTTTTCTCCAAAATAAATTTTTATTTTTATTTTCTTTTTTCTCACATAATATATCCTGATTATAGTTTCCCATCCCTCTACTCATCTCAATTCCTCCTCAAATTCCCTCCTGTTAGGATCTACAACCTTTCTGTCTCTCATTAGAAAATAAACAGGCCTTCATGGGCTAATAGTAAAATATAATTGTGGTGGTTTGAGAGAAAATGGTGCTCATAGGGAGTGGCACTATCAGAAGGTGTGGCTTTGTTGGAATAG